TCAACAGAGGAGGAGGAAGAGCGAAACGACAGGAACTCTCTTTCTGTGTGTGTGTTGGCCAGCAGCAAACGTGGACATTAGCATTTAGCTCCTGAACGGTGTTGCTGCGATACGCAAGAATAGAATAGTGGTGGTCGTGACGATGATGATGATGATGGTGGTGACGACGATGGTGGCGATGATAACGAGGGTGGTGATTCATGGTTGCGGTAATTAGATGACGATTACAACGTCCACACTCGTACGCAGGTTCACGAGAATTTCCTTGAATGCGAGCGCACGCGCAATGTATCAACACCTCGCTCACGTGGCACGCAATTAACGAATTAAGAAAGCCACGTGACTCGTGAAAACGGCCGGGGCTCGATGTGGGGGGGGGGGGGGGGGGGGGATGGGATTAGAGGGAGGAAGGGGAGGGGGAAGCACATTCTGCCTTCAGAGAGAGTGTCTCTGTGTGTGTGTAATCCGTGGCTTATTTTTATTTCCATGTCCGTGCCAATTGTCTCGCGTAATGCGATGGACGGTGTTGTTGGCTGCGCGGCTGTAATTATCAGGTTTGAACAGGGCGCTGCTCACACACACACACACAAAAGGCAAAGGTCGCCCGTATAGCCTCGACAAGAACCGTTTGGGGCAAGTGTTGTTCGTGAGCAATACCTCATGAAGGCCGGCACGGCACGCGACGGGGTGGGTGGGTGAGCAGCACCACGCACGCTCGGCCGCATTTGTCTCTCCAGTGCTGTTGTTTTACACACCGCACAAGGTGCGTACTCATTTGAGGCTGAGTCGACTTATACGGGTTCAGATATTTGTCACTGGTGTCGGTGGCCGTGAGCGGGAATTGAACTCGGGTTGCCGTGTTCGCAGCGCAGCGCTAACCAGTGCACCGCCCACCAAAAGACACTCACACACACACGAATACATCCACCTAACCACACCTACACCCTCCATACGTACTGGCACACACACCCACACACACACACCCACACACACACACACCCTGCACACACCTCCATGCAGCGTGTATCATCATCACCACCACGACCACCACTATCACCATCAGCGGCATCACCACCACCATCATCATCGTGGATAGGCCAGTAATGGTCCTGTAATCACCACTACCACCATCAGCGGCATCATCATCATCACCACCATCATCGTCGTCGTTAGGCGGGTAATGGTCATGGAATATCCCTCCGTTACACGACAGCAGTAGGAGCAGCTGCTGCCTGCGTTAGTGGCGTCAGCGCAGCGCGCTGCGTTATTGACGCCTTGGCCACGAATACCGCGCGCCGCGGGGAAGCGCGGAGCCGCCAGCTCCAAGCGACGTCCATTAGACACGGGGTGTACAGGGGAAGGGGGGGTTGCAGGGGCGGGGCTGGGGAGGTGAAGGGGTCAGGGGGGGGGGGGGTAGGAGATCGATCAAGCTCCCACAACCCGGGGCAAGCGGAGGAAGGAGAGGGGGAGTGGTAGAGTCAGAGACACCCCCCCCTCGCCCACCCGCGAAAAATGAAAACCCAGATAGTGTCCACAATCTCCATGCACTACCCCTAACCCCAACCGACTATGCCCTCCCCCCCCCCCCTATCAGGATAAAATAATAATGTTTTACAGTAATTATACCAATGTACTCATTTGTCAAGGAGTCCAATGATTATTTTTGTCCGGAGGGTCCTACTCCTAAATTGCGATATTATTTTGAAATGCCTTCAGCCAATTTGTGACACAACAACAACCACCATTCGCCACTAAGTGGCGGTGATGTCACCACGACGCTTGTGCCAGGCGATGTGCACCTTGAGGCCACGTGAAGTGTCGAACGCCCGCTGGCAGGAGGTCACGGGGCAGACCCAAGTGCCACGGGTCGACTGACTAAGATGACTGACACACACACATTCCCCTACAAAGACAAAGATGCCCCGCATATCCTTAACAGGCTGTTAGGGCAAGTGCTGTTAGCGAGCACCTACGAAGGCCAGGGCGGCACATGAGGGGGTGGTGTGGCCAGGACCATGCCGGACCGCCTTGGTCTCACCAGCTACTCATTTGAGGCTGAGTCGACCTAGGGGAGGCTTAGGACCGGTTCAGATGATCGTCACCGGTGTTGGCCGTCAGCGGGAATCGAACTCGGGTGGCCGGATTCGTAGCGCAGCGCGCTAACCGCTACCCCACCGCTCCCCACACGCGCACAAGCACACTCATATTCACACACGCGCGCGCAACACACTCACTCACTCAATCAGCACATCACTCGTTCAGCCTCCCGCTCGCACGCCGAGCAATGACAAACGCACCGCACTAACTCTGTCCCGACTTCTTGGAAGAAAATAAAAAAGTACCACGCTTTGGATCAAGAGGTCGCTGGCAATGAACTCTCCCATCACTCACTCTTCACCGGACGCACACACACAGACAAAGGTCTCCCGTATAGCCTTGACAGACTGTGGGCGACAAGTGTTCTTCGGGAATAGCACCCGTGGCTCGCCAGGAAGGCGGTACAGCGAACTGCGGACAAGTCTCCATCTGTTCCTTCTGTATGGGGATAGAGCGTTGCTCCCTTCCACGCACACGTGACCTTTCTCCGTGTGCGCCAGTTTGCTCCCACGTGTATATAACAAGCCACTCGTTCGCTAAAAATATATATTGATATAGAGGATCACAGAGCTTGGACAATTGACGACGACTTGATAGTATATATTTTTTTAATATTATTCTAAGTTGGAACACACACTCCCATCAAATAAATACTTAATTACGCACCCAAATGCAACGATGCCCCGTATAGCATGAAGCAATTGTTGAGGCAAGTGCTGTAAGCGAGCACCTATGAAGGCCGGAACGACGCACGAGGTGGGTGGTTGGCCAACACCACGCCCGGCTGCCTTTGTCTCACGAGTAAGGATGTATACACATCGCACCAGCTCCACATGAGTCGACCTAGGGGAGGCCCAGTGCCGGTTCCGATAATCGTCACCAGTCTTGGCCGTGCGCGGGAATCGAACTCGGGTGGTCGGGTTCGTAAGCGCCACGCGCTAGCCGTTCCACTACCACTCTCCATACACATGTACACGCGCACACGCACTCTCTCTTCACACAAACACACGCACAAATGCACGCACATACCCACGCACGCGCACACGCATGAACACATACACACACGTACACACGCACGTACACGCACACGCGCACACACAACAACAACCGCCATTCGCCACTAAGTGGCGGTGACGTCACCACGACGCTTGTGCCAGGCCATGTGCACCTTGAGGCCACGTGTGCGTGTGCACACACACGCGCACACACACGCACGCATGATCACACTCGCACGCGTGATCACACGCGCACGTACACACACACACGCACACGTGACCACACACACACGCACGCGTGACCACACACACGCGCACGTACACACACACACACATGTACACACACACACACGCACGTGTGATTATTCGCACGCGCACGGCGGTCGTTGCACCAAACGCGTCCCACTCGGGGTCCCCCCTCGCCACCCTCATCCCTCCCCGGGCTCCTGGCGCTGTCCACTTCAGCACCACGATCGGCATCAAAGCGGCCGTAACCGCGACTTCACGGGGTGAGGTGGGGGGGGGGGTTAGGGACCGTGGCTCCCCAGCCTCCTCCTCCTCACCAATCCCCCCCCCCCCCCACTCCTCCCCCCAAAACTCACCACCCCCCTCTACCCCGGAAACATCCCACAACTCTTCACTTCACAACTGCTCGCTACAAGTTCATACTCTTTGGTTCTATTCGGTAAAGTCACGTAGGTAAAAAATAGAATAGAACCAAAGAGTATGGATCCTTACAGTCACGCCAGTGTGTTGAGTGGAGTGTGTGTCAGGCGAGTGTGTTGAGTGGAGTGTTTGTCAGGCGAGTGTGTTGAGTGGAGTGTGTGTCGGGCTAGTGTGTTGAGTGGAGTGTGTGTCGGGCGAGTATGTTGAGTGAAGTGTGTGTTGGGTGAGTGTGTTGAGTGAAGTGTGTGTTGGGCGAGTGTGTTGAGTGAAGTGTGTGTTGGGCGAGTGTGTTGAGTGAAGCGTGCAAAACTGAGTGAGTGAGTAAAAGAGATCCGATATGACGGTCAAGAGGTGTGGGACACGCAACGAACATCGGCGGAGACGCAGAGAGCCGGAAGGCATAGCGTGTGAATCACTAGAAACCCAGCGACAGACATATATATTTTATATATACTGGACATTTAATAAATATATATACACACGCGTTGTGTTAAACAGAGGCAGCGAGCAAGTGTGAGGCACATCACAATGGCTGTGAGCGAATGCGTGAGAAAACAGACCTCGACACGCGAGAGAGAGAAAATGTGAGATACGTACACAGAGAGACATTGAGACACAATGAGGCATATGCACCACGTGAGCAACTATGACACAGACACAGAATGAGACAGTGTGAGACACATACACCCGGTGACACACAAAGACAAAGACAAAAAATCCTCCATACAGCCTAATAAGACTGTTGGAGCAAGTGCTGTTAGCTATCACGGCACACGAAAGGGTGGGTGGCCAACACCACGTCCGGACGCCTTTGTCTCCCCAGTGGTGATGTTTGCACACCACACCAGGTACTCATTTGAGGCTGAGTCGACCTAGGGGAGGCCTAGGCCCGTCCAAGGTAATCGTTACTGGGTGTTGGCCGTGAGCGGTCATCGAACTCGGTACGCCGAGTTCGTAGCGCAGCGTAGCGCGCTAACCGCTACACCACCGCTCCCCCCATGCCCCTGGGTGACACAGAGACGCAGCGAGACAGCGGAGACACGCCGGCAGCGTGAGACAACGCACGCGCACAGGCACGCGCACACAGTGCCGGGCTGCACGAGCGCAAATGTTTGCGCGCGCCACAATCAACGAGAGGCCGATAAGGGAGAACCGGCGTCTGCCCCCCGACATCATCACGCTCGTCGTCGTCAACAACCGCGTGCCCTCGCCAACGTTGCAATTGCGCGGCTGCTCTTTCACCTCGATTGTCGCTCATGTCGTTCGCCTCTTCGGTGACACCAGCGCCTCGTTTTTGGTCGCGAGTCGTTGGAGGGGGTGGAGGGGGGGGGTCTCCGGACGTTCACGGATTTCCTCCTCCCACGCGATCCGGGGTTGTGGAGCGGAGTGGGGGGGGGGCGGAGAGAGGAGATGAGGGAATGGATGCACGGGGAGGGAGGCGCGGGAAGACGATACAGGGAGATGCAGATGTGCAGGGGAAATTAAAAATAAAAATGTGAGAGAGGCGCAGGGAGACGCAGCAGGGAGACGCGGTGAAGACGGCAGGGGAGCGGTGGCGATGCGCGTTCGCCGTGTGAGTCGCGGTCGGGGAGCGCCCGCCACCAGTCGGTACACCGCGAGGTTCGGCGGGGCGAGAGCGCCGATATTTATACGCGCGCGTGTGCGCACGCACGCACCGACGGACTCGCAATAAAACACACGCGCGCGCGCGCACACAGACACGCACGCA